TATTGACTCTTGTGTGAACTATTATATGGGAGGGAATGTAAAATAGGAGAGAACAAGATAATTGGTATAGGTTTTGAAGCACCACAATCTTATTCTGTTTGATGGACTAACATTTATGTTTCATGTGCATGTGTGTGGGTGTGTGTGTGTGTGTGTGTGTGTGTGTGTGTGTGTGTGTGTACGCACGTACACGTGTGTATGCATACATGTGTCTGTGTCTGTCTGTTTGTCTGCCTGTCTGTCTGCCCATCTGTCTGCCTGTCTGTCTGTCTGTCTGTCTGTCTGTCTTTCTGTCTGTCTGGCTGCTCGTCTGACTGTCCAGCCAATGCTCCTGTAACGCGTGACCTATGTGAAGTCCTTGATGAGGCTACTCTTAACAGCACAATGACACGCGTACGTCGAATCCGCATCAGCCTCATTGGCCAGTTTGGTAGTGGCAAGACAAGCCTGGCTGACTCGTTAAAGGGTAAAAAATTTCGTCCAGACAAATCCAGCACTCCATTCCTTGATGTGCATCCACATGGCCTGCTGCTGCGTGATGGCAAACTTCAAGAATGGGAATTCTCGACTGCTCATCTGCAAGGATCTCGGTTCATACGCGATGCGGAGACGCGCACAGCTGATCGTTTACGACAGAATGATGCAAAGCGGAATGCTTATCAAGCCGAGGCTCTTGAGGTGAGAATGGAAGTGGAATCAAACACCCCAATTAGTGGTGGACAAGAAAAGCTAGAATCCAAAATACTGGACGATCCTGAGCCAATCAGCGCGGGTGAACTCACTCAAGGTGTGATCAACGAAATCTTGGACAATAGAGAGCTGACGAGGGATATGGGAGATGAAGAGGTGATCATGTCTATGTGCGACTGCGGTGGTCAGTCTATCTTCTCCAGTCTGCAGCAATTCATGTTGAGTGACAGCTTTGTCATCTATATTCTTTGCTTCAATTCTGCCGAAGGCCTCTGCTTGATCAAAGACCAAACATTTACGCCTGAGGATACAGGCGTCCCTGAGAAAATCGAAGTGGCGAAAGAACTGGAGAACATCGACCACATCCGCCACTGGTTGACTGCCGTTCACTTCGCAAGCACTGCTGACAGTGAGCAAGACAATGTCTCATATTCGCCAATCATCATGGTTGGAAACTTTGCTGACAAACTTGACCCAGATCTGAGCTTGCAGCAACACAAAGACAAGATCTGGAACAATTTGTGCAAGCTTTGCTGCAGATCACCAGTATTTGCAGCCATGCAGTCTAACTCCGATGGGATATCAACGTGCGATGCCAACTCCTTATTCCTGGTCAACAACCGAGAATCGAACGCATCGCCGGAAGTCCGTCAAATTCACGCTAAAATCGAGGAAGCCATGTCTATTGTCCTAAAAGGGAAGGTGATGCGCAAGTCATGGGTTCGCTTTGAGTGGATTGTACAGCATCTCAACCAAGCTAAGAAGGAGAAAGGATGCACTAGCCGAGAATGGATGAAGACGATGGTAGCTGAGGCATGCGGAATCAAGGAGGAAGTCGAGTTTGAGGAGCTTCTACAGTTCTACCACTGCATGCGTGTCATCATCTACAAACCGAGCAAATATCCGCCTCCGCCAGATGACCTCATCGTCTACAACGTGCAGTGGCTTATCAAGCAGATCAACCGCTTCATGTTCGGTAAGAAGTACCTGGTGCATGAAGCTGGCCACACCTTTGAAAAAAAAAGTCTCTGGGAAGAAGAGACTGCAGCACGTCTTCACAACACTCTGTGGGAGAAAGGCACAGCAAGCATGCGTCTAGCGGACATCACTATGGCCTCCATCCCACAAAGTGTCCGTACTAAGGTGATTGACGTGATGGTTGACTGGGATCTTCTCTACAAATTGGAAGACAACTCGTACCTCGTGCCATCAGCGCTACACCAGCAGAGCCCACCGAAAATTGAAGGTGCATTGCGCAGTTTCAGCAAGGTAGATGTGGAGATGGACAGTATCAATTTCTCTACCGCTGATACCCCGTTGCTTATTGCTGTGGAACCATCTAATGCAGTACAAGAGGATTACGAGTTCCCTGTGCCAGCCACGCCGATGCCACATAGCTCCTACTTCAAGCTACTAGTGCGTCTCTTCAAGAAATGGGACATCAGAAGCATCAACACCAGCCACTGTGAGCTCACGTACAACACCGCCAGGATAAGGCTGCCGAATAGGTGCCTTGGCTTGGGTGAGTTCAAGGATGGCCACGTGGAAATCTTCATGGCTCACTACGAGTCATCAGGTGCATTGCTGGTCAGCCTGAACTTCCAGCATCCTCTCCACACATTCCAGCCCGGTCATATCAGCACGGCAGACAAGAGGCTTCGCTCGATATCATCCATCTGCCAGCAAGTCTGCAAGGACATAGTTTCACAGCTGACAGAGCTTTCATTCATCACGACATCCTCCGTGTCGCTTGACGCTGGCAATCTCGTCTGTGAATGCAAACCCAGTGAATGGTCCGACCACACCACAAGATGCCGCGACCTTGGATATGCACCGTGGCGCGTGCGTTTTGCTAAGCAGTCTACCGACATTGCGGCTGCTGAGCAGTCTACCGGCGTTGCGGCCCGCAGTCACGTCATGGAAGCTGCTTACCCGGACGGCAATCCTTGCATTAAATGCGGCAAAGATATCCGAGTTCCCAACAACTCTCATTGCTGGTTCAATGACAGAGAGTTCAAGGTAAGAAATTGATGGATGCCACCTTTTTTTCCTGTGTGTGGAATGAATGATTGCACCCATGGTGGTTTTAATTATTCTGGTCGTTTTTATCTTTGATTTTAAAGTAAGCTGCACTTGTACTACGTGAAGTTCAGCTCAAAGTGCAGATTTTGGCATCATTTTGCTCTGCAAGTAGGCAGGCATAGTGGGGTGGTCTACAAAGTGTAAGATAATTGAGAAACAGAGGGTACCAGGTTTGAATCCTGCTTGGAAGCAGAAGGTTTTTTCCACCTGTGCTTGGACCACCTCTGTTTTCCGTACTCAGACTTCTGATTTCCCGTTTCTTTGCAGTGCTGTGTACTCAGACTTCTGATTTTCGCTTTTTTGCGATGTTTAAAAAAAAAGTACTGGTGTCTTTTGGTTGTCGTTCTTCTTGTTTTCGTTCTGAAAGTTATTACTATGAATGTCCTGTGTTGAGTATTGACAAGAGTAGATAAACAAGAGTGTGCAACTCGCGGATGGGTAGGCCCACGGCGGAATTTTTTGTTGACGTAATCTTTTCGACGACGACGCGCGCTGCGAGTCTTTCGGATAGTTTTCCCTCGTGCTCTTGGCCGGCTTTACACTACAAGGTCGGTGCCCAGCACGTGCTCTCACACTGCTTTGCGGCAAAATGCGCGTTCTTCTAAAAAAAGGTGGCGTCAACAAAAAATTCCGCCATGGGCGGGGGTATCTGCAGTTTGTGCAGGAGAGATCCGGAGTTGCACACTCTTGTTTATCTACTCTTGGTATTGAGTATTATGTGAACCATACCAGTACTACCCATGTCCTAACGTGTACATTACATGAGTACTTGTATTGTGTGAACCATACCAGTACTACCAATGTCCTAGCGTGTACATTACATGAGTACTTGTATTATGTGAACCATACCAGTACTACCAATGTCCTAGCGTGTACATTACATGAGTACTTGTATTATGCTGTTTGTGGCATGCACATGTACGTAGAGTCAGACCTCCCTTAACCGCACACATCCGTTTTCCACAAAAAATATCCGGATAGACGAGGAAACCGGGTAATTGAACGTACATATTGTACGTATGCATGGCATAAGCTGTAAATCGGTAACCAACAATTTTCTTCCCGGTGGCGAGGGATCCGGATAAAAGAGGACTGGATAAGCGAGGTCTGACTGTACATGTACCTGGCCGGGTTTGTTGCTGCAAAACAAGTGTGTATTCACAACACTATCTTTCGTTCTACCACAGTAGTAAATGTGGTCGTAGCACGGGATGCACTCCCTTTGGTTCCATTATATCCATCGTTCAGCGTGTGCTTTCCGTAATCCTACACGGCTGATTGATCTCTCCAGTTTTCCGTATCATTTGCTCAAATTCAGTACTGAGGACGAAGGAGTAATTGTCCGTGAAAGTACGGAAGGTTGACAACTCTGGACGGCACTTGTTGGCCGGACTTTCGTTTTGTGCACTGCTTCAGTAACTCGTTCTGCCTACATGTTTGCTCTGTTTTAATACTTTTGTTCACAGTTGGAAGGTCAGAGTAACCAGCCTGCCAGGAAGAAAGTTGCTGCATCAGTAAGTGTATGGCATGTTAACATGTGACTGGACGAGTGCTTAAGTATCGCTTGTGTGTGTGGAGTACTAAACATTCACGGTGATATGCTCGTCAAAGTGAGCATGAATCGATCTCTACTGCATAAGCCAAATAGTTTGCATAGGCAACTGCAGGCAGCGGCTTTCCACAGCATTGGATATGGACGTTTTCGACTGCGCTGTGTATCCATGATTCTATATTATCTCTTGTTGCTGAACCCCCTTTCTATCGTAATGGAAAGAAAGCCCAAACAGGTGCTTGCTGTCACTGTCTAAACTCTAAAGTACAAACCTTGGTGTGTATGTGTGTGTGTGTGTGTGTGTGTGTGTGTGTGTGTGGATCGATAGATTGCGGGTTCGATTCCCGACGATTATGGTCACACACGTCTTTCTTCTCTTTCTCAGACTCTTCCTGACTTTTCTTTCATTCTCCTGGGTGGTTACCAACAGCCAGTGCATGCCGGAGTATGTGGTGTGATGTGTGTGCGGGGAAAAAAAAATGAAAAGACCAAAAATAGGGATTCACTGGCCAGAAAATGTCACTCCAAATAGCTGTATGGTGTAGACCAGGCTGAATAGTGACGGTCAATTCTTCAGCCTTGCAAGCTGTTGAATGGTGTAATCCCAGCACAAGTTGCTATGGCTTCTGCCGTAGCATTGCTATCATCGCCTCCGGCGATGGGCGTCAAAGGTCAAAGGTCAAGGTCAAAGGTGTGTGTGTGTGTGTGTGTGTGTGTGTGTGTGTGCATGCGCCCGTATGTGTGTGTGTGTGTGTGTGTGTGTGTGTGTGTGTTTGTGCGTGTGCATGCACGCGTATGTGTGCGTGTGTGTGTGCATGCACATGCTTGTCTGTGTATACTCTATTTTCAGAATCCGCTGCCGTGCACTCCAGGTACGTACAAAGACAATATTGTCAATGATCGCATGTTGCGGCATTCGCACACATTGATTAGCCCAAGCAGGCACTGTCCTGGTAGTCGATCGCTGCGCTGTTGCCAGGACAACATTATATGAATTCCTCTACAACCCTGGGCATGCTGGCAGTGATCTTGCACCGACAATAAAGGGGAACTCCAGTGAAAAAATTAAATTTCAGGGTCGGTAGAGTTTCGGGCGCTGAGTCAAATGGTGTTGGTCCCACGTGTCTCCGACAAAGCGTTCTCGAGATATTTTCGTTTGAAAAACTGAGTTTCGGGGGCTGCGCCATGACGTCATGCGGCCGCGCCACACCCTTCGCAACGTCATAGCGTGCAGCTAGGTCAAAAGGAGTGCGTGAAAGCAATAGTGCCAGTGCTATTTCAAATGATTTGGCGACCGATAGTAGGTGGTGCAAGCGACCCTGAAGACGTAACTCCTTTTAAGAGTGAGGATGCAGCCATGGCTGACCTTCACGAGTTTGGTCTGGGGCTGAGAACCTCGGTATTCAGCTGAAGAAATGGCCGCGCGGGCCGATCAAGAGTGAGCGCTACTGAGTTTCCAACTGTTGAAGACGCAGCAGCTATAGCAGACGAGGCTGATATAATTATCAGATCGCTGGAGAGCAGAGACGCCAAAATGGAGAAGAGTGATGCGAGTGCTCTAAATGATGTTCCATACCGATTAGATTCGCTTAGACTACAGTAGCCTGCCACATGGTGATGTTTTGGTGCGAACTTGGCATATTTCGGACTACTCAATTAGAGAACAGTGCAGGCTCTTTGAACCACGGGCACGACTCTTCACTCGCAACGCTACGGGATCTGAAAGTTCTAGGTTCGGGACCTGTTCGCTGTTTTGTCGCTGTTTTGTCACTGGTCACGGTTGTGCACTCATCGCTGTAGCATAGTAAAATAATGAGGCGAGAGCGGAAAACTAAAATTTTCTTTCTCAAAGCACAACCACCGGCACCGGCAAGGAGAAACGCACGTTCTCTGACTACATGACTGTACAATACGACTGATACGGGTGTAGTACATGACAAGTCCGTGTGTTGACTAGTTTTCTGAGTCCTGTGACTCGAGTCTTGTTTGGCTACCCCAGCACGGCAGTGCGGGAGTAGTTCCGTGTGTCATGAGTTTGTTGACTATGCAGCATGGCTACTTTATGACACGTAATTTGTATACACATAAATAGTACACCGTAGGAATGCATGGATAGGCTGTGCGCATACTCGCACTGCCTTGTCTTTTTCTTCTCCTTGTGAGACAATGAACGAATATTGATAACTACTTACGTAACAACAAGTATGTGCTTTGAGTGCTGAGACTGAGAGTATACGAGTTACAATGGTGGCAGCGGAAAAATAGTCGTCGGTTTTGTCCTCGGCTGGGAAGACGCCTCCGCAGGAGAGACAAGTTGCAGAGTCGACAAGTTCCAGAGAGTCTGAGACCAGTTCCAGCTACTCGGGAGACCAGCCCACAGACTAAGTTCTAATTTACTAGTATTGGTCATTCTATCCTTAGTCTCGTTTTCCATTCTTTACTTCTTGACTGATCGTTCGCTGTGCATGAGTAGCAAGCAGTTTTGTTTGGTGTAAAAAGGGCTAGAATTTTCACTACAATTATTTTTGCACATAGTTCTACGTGGGTATGCGTGCATACTTACAGCTGCCCTGGCCTAGGTCTTGTAAGTAACTAACTACTTGTAGTGCTGTACTACGTAGATTGTGCATGCATGCACCTGCATATGACGTAACTCCATGATTGTACAGTACAGTACTATACTTACTACTTGTGTAGCTAGCTTAGCTAGCTAGGTAGTAGGTAGACCTACGCACTACGTACGCGTAGCTTGACACATCACGGATTCACGGTACGGGCCGCGCCGGCGGGTAGGCCGCGAGTGACGTTTGCATTGCAGGGTTTTTTTTTGTAGAATTTTTTTTAATATTAAATTTTGTTTAAATTTTGAACTTGATCTCGAACGCAAGATGGGCAAGTCGAAAAAGCAGACCCGGTCACCTAGTCCATTGTCATTCGAGATGTATGACAAGCCTGCCAGTGCCTCAGCCTTACCGAGACCAATCCTGTTACCCGAAGTATTTGGTCGTGCTGGAAATGAAGATTTTTCGGCCTACCTCAAACATTTTAACGATGCATGCCACCTTAACGGGTACAGTGAGGAACAAAAACTATTGTTATTACCCACAAGACTCGTAGGCACGTCCCATGAACTGCTGGAGGCCATTCTCCTATCTGATGCAGACGTTTCGTTTCATGACGCCGTTGAAGCGCTCCGCAGTCGCCCGGAGCCACCACAGCAGGCCCAAATGCACGAAGCGGCTTTACGCCAGCGCCTGAAACTCGCCCATGAAACGCAGTATGCATATGCCATGGAGCTCCGCCGCCTTGCTGCCAAAGCATATCCAGGCCAACAGGGCCCGTTACTAGAATCGATGCTGCTGCAGATTTTCATCGATGGTCAGCCAACAAAAGATATGCGCCTGGCTCTGTCGTCGCCACGACCAGCAAGCATTGAACTGGCGGTCCAAAAAGCAATTGAGGTCTCGGCAATCTACGCCAGGGAACAGAGCCGGATCCCTGTCGAGTCTCACTTCACTCAGGCTGTACATGTAACTGGTGACTACGATGGCTCGGCCTGCGCCGCGTTGCCGTTACGCAGCCAGCCACCTGGCCCATCACCAGCTGTACCCCGTGCTTCTGTTGCCAAGGCAAGTGCGTATGACGCTGGAGAGCGTGATCGACTGGCCCAAGTGCTTGAGAAGTTTGATTCAAGAATGTCAGATCTTGAAAAGAGACTCGGCCGTTTAGAAATAATTGTCGCTCCGCAAACACCAGTCACTGCAGGAGCAAGTCCCGATGGCCAGTCTCGTGTCAGTGGACGTGGTCGTGGACGGGGACGGGCGTATGGTCGTGGTGGTCGCGATGAACCGCCGATTTGTTTTGGGTGTGGACAACCTGGCCACTTTGCTGTTGATTGCCCACACAACCCTTGGCGCTCGGGAAACTGAGTTCGACTGGTGGTGTGGGACAACTCCCAGTCGTCCACGAGAAGCCATCAGATGAGGCGCGAATCGAAGCTGTATCATCTGTCGTCCCTACCCTAGACCTCAATGTTGAAGGCAAGAGCGTAACTGCACTAATTGATTCTGGTTCATGTGTTTCTTTGTTGCATGAACAAACATTATTGTCCACGTATGGTGTTGTGCCTTTGCAAGCTGCCCCCCGTTTGTGTGCGGTGAATGGTGAGGGACTTCGAGTTCTGGGTGCTGTAGATATCGAATGCTGCATTGGAGGGTGCTCATTTTTGCATGCATTTGTAGTGTCCCCTGATATCCGCCGTGATATGATCTTGGGATCTGATTTATTGTTTGACCATGGAGCATTACTGAACATTGCTCAAGGCACCTTAACTTTTAAAGACCTGTCAGTCCCGTTAGGAGTGAAAGCTACCAGTTTTGGTCCATCGGAACCTAGTCCGGCCGTTGCGGAGGACCCGGCGCCAGTATCTGACTCTTGTGTTAGTGATAGTAATTCTCAGGAAGACCTGAGCACGTACTCTTCTCGTGTCACTGTTGGTCGTGCATTAACTCTGCCTGCCGGCCATGTAGTGTTGGTGCCGTGCATGTCTGTGCAAGAGGCACCTGTAACTGTGGACTGTGTTGCTGATCCACTTGACTCATTCTTGACAAAGTTTCCAGATGTGTCTGTGACCCCCGGTGTGGTTACGGTTGGACCTGACAGGTCCCGTGTGGTAGTTGTGTTGGAAAATCACTCTGACCACCCAGTGCTTCTTGCTAAAGATGTTAACATTGCCGAGTTATCTCCTGTACCCGAGGACTTCATTGTCGAGGATAATGATCCTACTGTTTCCTCCGTTGCGGATACGCCACCGCTTGTGCTATCCCCTGAACTTGCCAAGGTAATCCGTACATATGTTGACTCTCAGAGTCATCTGTCAGTACCTGAGAAGAGCACACTTACAGAGATTCTCCGGGAGAATCATGACTTGTTTATCTTGCAGGAGGGTGATTTTGGTCATTGTGATGTTTTCCCACATCGTATTAGTACTGGTGAGACAAAGCCAGTTAAGCAGCCTACGAGTCGTGTACCCTACCACCGCCGGCAGGCTTTACAAGCTTTGCTGGATGATCTGTTGGCCCGTGGTATAATCACAGAGTCTATTAGTCCCTGGGCGTCACCCATAGTTCTCGTTCCAAAGAAGGACGGATCTCTTCGATTGTGTATCGACTACCGCAAGTTGAACAGTATTACGGAGCCAGATGCGTACCCCATCCCACGAGTTGATGACATGCTAGACTCACTCTCCGGCTGTTCATGGTTCACTTGCCTGGATTTAGCTTCAAGTTATTGGCAGATCGCTATGGACGAGGAAGATAAGGCCAAGACTGCCTTCACCACACCGTTGGGTTTGTTCGAGTTCTCCGTGATGCCAATGGGATGTCCAAATGGTCCTGCAACTTTCCAGCGTGTGATGGAAGCGGTGCTTCATGGCTTATGCAATGTGCCGACCCAGCCATTCTGTCGCGTTTTCTTCGACGATGTGCTGAATGCCAGTTCTACCTTGACTGGACAGCTCCAGATCCTCAAGTCGGTGTTTGACCGCGTTCGTGCTGCTGGACTGATGTTCAACTTGAAGAAATGTTCGTTCTTCCAACGGAAAGTGCTCTTCCTCGGTCATCAGGTTTCGGCTGACGGATTGGCGCCGGATCCGGCCAAAGTTGAAGCTATCGAGTAGTGGGCTGTACCGAAGTCGGTGAGAGATGTACGTGTGTTTCTGGGTTACGCTGGGTACTACCGTCGGTTCATCCGTGGCTTTGCTCAGCGCTCTGCATCCCTGACTGCTCTAGCAGGGAAGAATGCCAGCTTTATGTCGACAAAGAGTTGTGATGCGGCATTCACCTCTCTGAAACAGTCACTGACAACAGCCCCCGTGTTGGCGTATCCCGACTTTTCTGTTTCGTCTGGCGGCTTTATTTTGGACACTGACGCTAGCAAGGTGGCCATTGGAGCTGTCCTCAGCCAAATGCAAGATGGCGAGGAACGCCCCATTGCGTTCGGCAGCCGGGTCTTGACGAAGGCAGAGAGGAATTATGATGCCTCAGACCGGGAAACGCTTGCCCTTGTCCATTTCGCGAATCAGTTCCGGCACTATTTGCTTGGTCGGAATTTTATTGCCCGCACAGATAACACTGCCCTCACCGCACTGATGTCCGTGAAGGAACCACGCGGTCGAAAAGCTCGATGGGTGGAGCAACTCGCTGAGTACACCTTCACTACTGTTCACCGGCCGGGTCGGCAGCACTTGAATGCAGATGGTCTGTCGCGTTCCTTGTTGCCGGAGGTGCAACCCTCCCATCTCGAGACTCCCGCAAATCAGCCAGAGCAAGCTAGTTCCTCTGCCACAACGGCGTCTGTGGATGTAGCCACTCCTGTACTAGCTGGTCTCTCCGCACCTGAGTTGGCCGCTTCCCAAGCTGTGGATGTTGATCTATCAGTGGTCTTGTCATGGTACAATGCAGTGAGTGGAAAATTTGTGCGTCCTCCTGAAGATTTAATTTCTGGCTCTAGTCGTACCATGCGCTTGTTCTGGGCGAATGCCGAGCAGCTAAGTCTCACTGACAGCGTTCTGTACATATCACCTCCATTTTCCGATCATGATCATGTCGGTACTGCACCCCGTCTTGTCGTCCCATTTGTGCTTCAACGCAAAGCTTTGCTGGCTGTTCATGCTCTTCCGTCTTGTAACCATCCTGGTGTAGATAAAACGTTAGCTCAAACGCGGCTACGTTTTTTCTGGTTTGGAATGGCATCAGATGTTCAGGAGTTTGTGGCGTGTTGTGTCACTTGTGCACAGATTCGGCTCAAGTCTGATGCCCAGCGTGCTCCGCTCCAGCCAATGTATGCCGGCTACCCATTTCAGCTCGTAGCCCTCGACATCGTCGGTCCATTGCCAGAGACACCCCGTGGTAATCGATATCTGTTGGTTATGGCTGATTACTTCACTCGGTGGGCAGAAGCTTTCCCACTCCAATCCGTTGCTGCAGAAGCTGTCGCTGTGGCTGTTGTCAATGGCTGGATAGCACGGTTTGGATCCCCTGAGCAACTGCATTCCGACCAGGGTCCGCAGTTTGAGTCTAAGCTTTTTGCTGAATTATGTCGTCTGCTGGGTATTCACAAGACCCGTACTACTCCCTACCATCCGGAAGGTGACGGACTTGTAGAGCGGCTCAATCGCACTTTGCTCGGTCTACTCCGTGCGCACATCACCCCTACATCTATTGAGTGGGATGCTACCTTCTCTCTTGTCTTGCTTTCGTACCGTTCTGCTGACCATGCGTCCACGGGTCACAGTCCTGCCAAGTTGTTGTACGGCACTGAATTGTGTTTGCCGGCAGATGTTGTGTTTGGTTTGCCACAACCAGCGTCTCTTGAATCCACTAGTTACGTTCGCCATTTACAGTTTGCGTTGCGTGTTGTACATGCTCAAGCTCGAGAGCTCGCTGATCTGTCCCATGAGCACCAGGAAGAACATTACAACCGCCGAACCAAGGGTGCACCATTATCTGCTGGCCAGTTTGTTTACGTAAAGGATGCTGTCATTCACCCTGGTGAACACCGCAAATTCCACCGCCCTTGGCGTGGTCCATTTCGTATTGTGTCCGTCTTTGGATCAACGTCCTACGTTGTCGATGTTGATGGTCGCCATAAGACGCTGCATTTCAACCGCTTGAAACTCGCTTACCTGCCGTCGCCATCTGCGTCCCTGCCGCTGGAGGATCCAGTACCTGCTGCTCCAGTGATGCCTCAGTATGTCCCACATGCCCTCGACAGCAACCATAGTCCGCTGTCGTCTACGCTCCCGCAGTCAACCAGAGCCCATCTTGCTCGCAATGCTGGACTGCCTGCTCGGTTTACTGATTTTGCTATGTCCTGAGTTATTTTATTTTTTTATGTTTCTGTTTTCTTTCTCTATTCACGAGGGCGTGAATTTTTGTCAGGAGGAGGATAGTGAAGCATGGCTACTTTATGACACGTAATTTGTATACACATAAATAGTACACCGTAGGAATGCATGGATAGGCTGTGCGCATACTCGCACTGCCTTGTCTTCTTCTTCTCCTTGTGTGAGACAATGAACGAATATTGATAACTACTTACGTAACAACAAGTATGTGCTTTGAGTGCTGAGACTGAGAGTATACGAGTTACAACTACACTACAGCTAGCATGCACG